AAAAAAAAAAAAAAAAAAAAAAAAAAAAAAGGCACAGCCTACAAAACCCTGAGTCAGTACTCTTCAGAAGTATCAAGATTATAAAAAAAAACTGAAAGACCTCACCATTAGAGGAGACATGGCTAAATGTAATGTGGGGTCTCAAAGTGGCAAAAATCCAGTATCTGTATTTTAGTTAATAATCCTGTAGAAATGTTAAGTGAGATGTCAGTGTTAGAGGAAGCAGATGAAGGACATCTAAGAACAACCTTTACCATTCTTGCAGCTGTTCTGTAAATCCTAAGCATCTTGAAGAAAGGGGCGTGAGGGATGGATCAGCAGTGAGGAGCACTCGTTGCTCTTACAGAGGACCTCGATTCAGTTCCCAAAACCCACATGGTAGCTCAAAACCAGTTCCACAAGACCCAACTCTGACTTCTAACCCTTGTGGGCACACACACACACACACACACACACACACACACACATATGCACATGCACCCAAAACACTCATACACATAAATAAATCTAAAATTTTTAAAAATGATTTGAAGGGAAAAAAAAAGAAGCTAGGTCGGAGTGTAGCTCAATGGTAAAGTACTATCCAGCTTGCATGTGGTCCTGAGTCTGAACTTCAGCATCATGAAAGAAAAATGAACCTATAATCCCAGAGTCTGGTAGGATGGAGACAAGGGGATCATGAGATCAGGGTCATCCTCAGCAATGTAGGAAAGCCTGTCTCAGAAAGCCAAAAATATATACACATATACCACACCACTAAAAAGTTACCAACAGTTAAATTCTTTGGGGATATATCTATTATTTGTTTTTGTTTCTGATTCTCCTTTCAGAAACAAAAAAATAAATTTCCTAGCCAGGCATGGTGATTCACACATTTAATCCCCACACTCAGGAGGCAGGGGCAAATGTATCTCTGAGTTGGAAGCCAGCCTAGTCTTTATAGTGTCTCAAAAAAAAAAAAGAAAATCCCTCCCTCTTCAACATTAGTATAATCATATGACTTCTTTGCTAACATTTATTAATTAATGAGTGGGAATTGTGTGTTATTACCAGGTGAAAAATTTTAGTGCCAACAGTTACTTGATACACGACACACCAATGTCCATGAGGTAAGTAGAGTTCTTTCTTTTCTCTCACTCATAAAATAGCATTTTAGAAAAAATAATGAGGTTCAGAGAAAGTTTTTTTTATTATTATTATTTCCCACTTTATCTATTTATTTACTTATGGGGACAGGGAGACACACACACACATGTATACATACTATGGTGTACATGCAGGGGTCACAGGACAATTTGCAGGAATTGGTTTTCTTCCTACTGTGGGTTCTGAAGATCAAACTCAGGTTGGTATCAGGTGCTCTTACCCACTGAGTCATCTCCCTGGCCCCTTTATTTCTGAGACAAGATCTCACTCACTCTATATGTCCGGCTGTCTTAGAACTCACTATGTAGACCAGGATGACCTGAAATTCATGATAATTCCTTCCTCAGCCTAAGTAGAGACTACGGTCATATACCACTATGCTTCACAGTAACTTTTACAGAGCTGGGCATGGTAGCTCACAGCTTGAATCTCAGCACTCAGGAGGTGAAGGAGAAGTCAGACAGATCTCTGAGTTCAAGGCTAGAACTTCATAAGTCAGAATCAATGTAAATCCATGGACATGATTATTCCACTTGTCAACATATCATAAGTTTTATGAACTTCATTTTTGTTTTGTTTTTCAAGACAGGGTTTCTCTGTGTAATAGCCCTGGCTGCCCTAGAACTCACTCTGTAGACCAGGCTGGCCTTGAACTCATAGAGATCGGCCTACCTCTGCCTCCCCAGTGCTGGGATTAAAGGCCACTACCACCCAGCTATCCTGGTTTTTGTTGTGTTTTTGTTTTTGTTGTTTTTTTTTTTAAAGAACACTTTAAGAGGGGCTGGAGAGATGACTCAGTGGTTAAGAGCACTAACTACTCTTCCAGAGGACACAGGTTCAATTCCCAGCACCCACATGGAAGCCCAGAACTGTCTGTAACTCCAGTTCCAGGGGATCTGACACCAAGAGCAAAACACAAATGCACATGAAATAAAACTAATTAATTTAAAAAAGAACACTTTAAGAAAAGATTTGTTTTTATTTTATGTGTATGAGTGTTCTGACTGCATGTATGTCTGTGTACCACATGCATGCATTCCCTATGGAAGCTAGAAGAGGGTGATGGGTTCCTGGAACTGGAGTTACAGCCAGTTGTGAGCTACCATATAGGCAATGAGAGCGGAACCTGTGTCCTCTGGAAGAGTGGCCAATGCCCGTAACCATGGGGCCTTCTCTCCAGCTCCATGAACTTCAATCTGCGGGAGAAATATGTTTGTGATTTCTTCCAAGAATGCGGATTAGTCTATCAATGAATGCTTGTAAGTCAAGTGCAAAGTCAAAGACTCATTCTGCCTTCAGTGCCTTGGTTCCTCTCTCTGGCCAGTTATACTGGGAAGAGGGCTGTGTCTGTGAGGGGAACCCAGAAGTGCCCTGGGTCTATCCATTTTCTAAATGCTCACAAGTCTATTGACTTGGACTCACTCTTTCTTGCTTCCTTTCATGACAAAACAAAGTCCCTCAGGTCTATTCAAACTAAGTACTGGTTGACAATACTCCCTCCACCTCCTGGCAGGGGTGGGGGTTTAGATTTTAAGGAGGAAGGGACACAGAACTCTAACCTACCTATGAAAGATGTGGTTCATTTCTTTGCAGTTCTAATAAAAATTAATGCTAAATTAGAAAAGAACATCCATATCCCTTCCCGTTGATGTAAATCCACTAGAGAACACAATCAGGGTTGTACTTAAGATCTTCCAATACTTTATTTTTATGATCTTATTAAGAATGTAGACACTGCTGGGCGTTGGTGGCGCACGCCTTTAATCCCAGCACTCGGGAGGCAGAGCCAGGCGGATCTCTGTGAGTTCGAGGCCAGCCTGGGCTACCAAGTGAGCTCCAGGAAAGGCGCAAAGCTACACAGAGAAACCCTGTCTCGAAAAACCAAAAAAAAAAAAAGAATGTAGACACTGGTGTCTTCCAGTTTGCATCATCTAGTACAAGTGACGTCATCTTTGTCCCGCGTACCGCATTGTCATTCCCAGGATAGAAAATACAGGTTTCCTTGAGTGTCTCCCACGGCAAGCTGCAGGGTAGAGTTGGGCCCCAGCCAAGGTTCCAGGCAGCTCACTGGCCCATCACATCGGAACAAACCCAACTAAGACAGGAACAGAAATGGGAGAGGTGAAGCTACAGGCCTGGGGTCTCCTTATTAACGTATCTTTCTCTCAAATCACTACCTTAGCATTGGGCCACTGCAAGAGAGATCGACGCAAACAACTTCCATCTTTAGCCCCTCCTTAGCCTAAATGTTTTCTTGTAGTAGCCCTTTCCCAGTTTGCATGCATGTGCACACACACACACACACACACACACACTTACCAGCTGCATACTGGGTCTCTCCCACAGCTTAACATCTCTGTCCTTCGAAGCAGTCACCAGCAATCCAGGAAGCACATGGAGGGCCGTGACTGCGCCCAAGTGGATCTCAGAGAGGAGGGGAACAACATGAGTTCTCAGGGAGACCTTTCCATTAAGGAAGCTTCGAAGGCAGCTGCGTCAGATCTAGAACCTCGTCCTTCTCTATGACCCTTGCCCCAAGCTTACCTTTTTACACTGATGTGCCTTCAAATGTCTGGGTTCCTGCCAGCTCTCCATGGAGGAATTTGACTCAGATGAATCTGTCTCTGGAGTCTGAGTTTTAGGTGTTTTTGCTTCTTTCTGCCAAGTGTTACCTACAATCCATTCTCCTCCGTCTGCAGTACACTCAGCTACGGTCCACAGCATTCCATCAGAGGTGGCACAGAGAAATGATGACTCTGCCATGTTAAGAGTCAGGTTAGAGAGCCAGGTCTCAGGCCTTCAGGGCCCACCAGCCTCCCCTAAGCCACCCCAGAGCTCCTCTGGGCTTTGCGCTCCCACTAACCAGACTCAGGTTTGGCCTGCGTGATTGATACCGGGGACCCATTAGGATTCTTTAAGTTCAGATCGAAGTCCAGGGCCTCCCCAAACTCTCCTGACTCCTTCTGCTCCTGTGAAAGGACAGGTGATTAGGTAACTTCGTTCAGTCTGAGCACACAGCACACAACTCCACGAACAAAACCACAGTGTTCTGCTCCAACGTGCTCAGGACATTAAAAGCAATCTACAAGTCCAGTCCAGGCATCGGATGGATGCGTGTAAGAATCTATCCCTGAGCTCCCCCAGGTGAAGATGTAGAACATATCTACATCTTGATGTTGTTATCATGCCCATCCCCAGTGGGTAGAAGAACCCCCAGCGCTGGCAGCAGATTTTAGTGTCATGACCTACACCACGTGAGTGAGGTCTCTGTAGTGAGGACATGTTTGTGTCTAGCCTCCTTTGGCAGAACATGACATATGTATGTGCATTTCCCATTTGTCAACACTCAGTGTCATGGTCTGCTTTTCTGCCCCACGGTTCTACACTGAAGCTACCTGTCTTCTCTCTGTGTCCAGGCACTTACATTGGTTTGGCTACACTGAACCAGGCTGACATAGACCTGCCTGTGCCTGGCATTTGGGGACATGTACACTTCTTTTACTTAAATACATGTTTGGGAACAGAACCACTGCTTCCTAGACAGGCTTTATAGGTTACTTGAGTAGGAATCAGGCTAGGATTTCATAAGCTTTCCAGAAACAAGAGACCTCAGGACACTTGGGAATGGAATCTAACTTCGACATACGGAAATCAGTAAGTGTAAAACGCCTATGAGATAACGGCAGCATGACAGAGACACGGTGCAGGCCTTGCCCTCAAATGCTTATACTGACAGAGTCAGTAAAAAAATCACAATTAAAAACCTGGGGGACAGGCTGGGCGTGGTGGCACACTCCTTTAATCTCAGCACTAGAGAACCAGAGGCAGGTGGATCTTTGAGTTCCAGCCTGCTCGATGGAGTGAGTCCCAAGACAGCCCAGGGCTACACAAAGAAAGCCTGTCTCAAAAAAACCAAAAAAGAAAGAAAGGAAGGAAGAAAAGGAGAGAGAGAGGGAAGGAGGGAGGGAGGGAGGGAGGAAGGAAGGAAGGTGAAGGAAGGGAGAGTTAGAAGAGAGGAGAGAGAGAGAGAGAGAGAGAGAGAGAGAGAGAGAGAGAGAGAGAGAGAGAGAGAGAGAAGCTAGGAGGCCAGAGAGATGGCTCAGCAGGTAGGAGCAATTGTTACCAAGCCTGACAACCTGAGTTTGATCTCTAGGAACCACATGGTAGAAAGAGAGAACAAACCCACTAAGTGTTTTCTGACTTCTTTTAAAATTTTTGTTTTACATTTGTGTGTGTGTGTGTGTGTGTGTGTGTGTGTGTGTGTGTGTGTGTGTGTCTGGGCACTTGTATAGCAAAGTATGCATACTTTAAAAAGATGAGAAAGAACCAGCACAGTGGCACACACAACCCAGCACTCAGGAAGCAGAGGCAAGCAGATGCCTGTGAGCTCCAGGTCAGACATGGCTACACAGTGAGACCCGATCTCAAAACGAAAGAAAAGGAAAAAGGGGAGGAGAGAGGAAGAGAGGGGAGGGGAGGGGAGAGAAAGGAAGGGGAAAACAACAACAAAAACACTCCTAGGTCCCTGGCTTTAAAACTTCTACAACCCTTTTTTTTTTTTTGCACAGGGAAATCTTAGATGGGAACTCAGCATCCTGTGATTTCAAACGTTGTTGCTCCAGGGAAGGGAGATGAGAGGATCGGAGCCACCTGCCTTTCCCTTCCCTCTCTCCTCCATGATGGGTTCCAGTGTTTAACTGCATTGGTCCTCGAGTCCAGAATCTAGACCAATGTTTGGTGTAACACATCCACACAGGACTCACCAAGAAAGAAAGATATCCAGAGTCCTCCTGCTGCAGGTAAAATACGCCGGACTCCTTGCTGCTGCACAGGACTGAAGAACGCACTCCATACTTCCTGCTGTTTTATAAGAAAGTAAAAGACTGAGCCCAAGACCACCTCTCTTTAAGACCCTGGTGCTATACCCTGAGTTCGCCTTGATCTCGGGGTAACCACTAAACCGTTTTTTTTTTTTTTTTTTTTCTTTTCAGCCCAAGAGGTTTTGCATTTTGTATCTTACCAGATCCTAGTTGGAGTACACCCAGGCTTCATCTGTAGTAATTCCACATTCTCCTTCATTAAGATGAGAGACTGGCCATCAGGGGCCAGAACCAGACCTGTCAAGACTCCCAAGTCGTCCTGTAGAACTCGCTTCATGTGAAGACTGTAGCTCAAAAGACACACACAAACACTTCCTTAGCTAACTTCTCTCAGACGCATTCCCACGCACTGCTCGTGAATGAAGTATAAAACACGTGACTGACTACACCACATGTCCTGTTCCTGACTGCTGTGTGCACGCTTGCTTGCTTTTGCTGTACAGAGACCCGGAGCCACTGGCAGGACTCAGACAAGCACTCCAGCCCTGAGCTACATTCCCAGCGCCTGTCTTTCTTACAGCAGCATCCACCATCACGCTCCCTTACTTGATAACACTGCTGTCTTTTTGTGTCCATCAATAAGCTCTGTGGATACTTCCTTCTGTAAGATGGCCGCAGGCCTCCAAACCTCAGCACAACTCCATGATGGAAGTACCATTCAGGCCACAACACTCAGCATGAAGACAGCACCACCAGCCAAAAATGAAAACAAAGACCTAATCCATCCAAGTCCATAGTTCCGGGCAGGTTTCTAAATGTACTAACCTTGCTTTGGGGGCCTGAAACTCTCTATGTAGCCCAGGTTGGTCTTGAACTAAAAGAGATCTGTTCCTGAGTGCTAGAATTAAAGGACGGCCCCACCACCATCTATCTCCTTCTTGGACACCACCTTCCCCATCCCCCCTAGGAACCCAAGGTCCTGGCTACACCCAGAATTCTGGCCCCACACTCCAAGTAGGGCCAGAAAGATAGCTCATCAGGTCGGCACAAAGTGCAGGAAAGAACTGACTCCAAGAACTGTCCTCTGTCCTCCACATGAGTGCCCTGAACAAGCAAACCCCATCAACACACACACACACACACACACACACACACACACACACACACTAACTAAAAAAAAAAAACCAGAGGGGTTGGGGATTTAGCTCAGTGGTAGAGTGCTTGCCTAGCAAGCCCAAGGCCCTGGATTTGGTCTTTGGCTCCGGAAAAAAAAAAAACAACCCAAAAAACAAAAACAAAAAAATACCAAAAACAAACAAACAAAAAAACCCAGAATACTCTGAGAACTCTCCTGCATAAATTTTGTTAACACTACTCACTTTTCTGGGTTGTGTTAACACTATTTGCTTTTCTGGAATACCATTTCCTTCCCTTACTGACCCAGAAAAATCTTCATTTTTTTTTTATGTCTAATTTTAAAGACCATCTCTTTGCTAACATTTCTCAAATTTTGCAGACCTATGAGCTACTGAAGGCTTTTTAAAAATTCAGCTGGGTTTGATGCCATACACCTCTATAAATTGTAGCCACTCATGAGGCTCAGTGGGAAGGAGTCTGAACTGCTAGCTTGAGCAATATAACAAAACCCTGCCTCAAAAAAAGTAATAAAGAAATACAGAAAAACAGTTCATGTGTTCCACACTCTCTGGTTCAGAACTTCACAACAAGTAGGCATTTAAGAATTACTCATAGCTGGGCAGTGGTGGCGCACGCCTTTAATCCAGCACTCGGGAGGCAAAGCCAGGCGGATCTCTGTGAGTTCGAGGCCAGCCTGGGCTACAGAATAAGTTTCAGGAAAGGTGCAAAGCTACACAGAGAAACCCTGCCTCAAAAAACAAAACAAAACAAAAAGAATTACTCATTTAGTGGCGCACGCCTTTAATCCCAGCACTCGGGAGGCAGAGGCAATCAGATCTCTGTGAGGCCAGCCTGGTCTACAGAGTGAGATCCAGGACAGCCAGGGCTACACAGAGAAACCCTGTCTCAAAAAAACCAAAAACCGAAATAAAAAAGAATGACTCGTTTAAACTGACGAGACCAGGGCACAATGGGTGAAGGCACTGGCCACTGAGCCTGATGACCTTAGTTTGAGTCCCAGAACCCACATGTTGGCAGGAGAGTCACCCCCCTCTGGTTGCTCTCTGACCTCTGCACACACAGCTGAAGACTCTAAAGACACGAACAAACAGCGGAAGGCACTACTTGAGCTGACCTCCCTCAGACTCCTCGCTTCCACGGGCACTACTCCCAAAGAAAGTAGTATAAAGCAAAACGACTTAGCTGCCCCCCATAGCCAGCTCCTCGTCATATAGATACACAAAGATCCATAAATGTCATCCGAAAACAACTCATAAAGCCAGGGGCAGCCGACATCCCACCAGCCTCACCCAAAAGCACAGACAGACCATAACAACGTCCTAGGTCTGTGTAGCTCGATATCCCCACCAGCAGACGCCTTGTGTCACCTGGGGTTTCTGGGCGTCGGACCCTCCGTCAGCTCCACCTGCCACTCGATGATTTTTTCATTAGCACTGAGAACAAAGACTGAATGTGCCGAGTACCAGATCAGGTCACTGACGCGGCCCGGAGCCTGTGTGTGAAGCAAGTTCAGTTCAGCACTTTTGAGGCAAAAGCATAAACCTTCCCCCGTCCCGGATGGGCAGGCAAAACTCTAACCCAAGGAGGTTCCACTAAACACCCAGGTGGACGGGATTCACACGGACTTAGACAACCTGTGCTGTCGCCACGGCTTTGGCTTCCTGCCACAGAGTTAGCTCCCCAGCTTCATTTCCAGACACTGCCAGAGAACCATCTGGTGCCCATGCCACAGCAGTGATGACCACAGAACTCCCAGGTTTGTGTGTATCATCTGGCGAAGAAAGGAAGGCATACGTACATTAAGAGCTCCGATACTGAGCTAGGATTAGCGATGCACGCCTTTCATCCTATCACTGGGGATACAGAGGCAGGGGGATCTCTATGAGTCTAAGGCCAGCCTGGTCTAAAGTTCCAGGCTAGCCAAGACTACAAAGTGAAACCTTGTCTCAGGCTAGCAAGATAAAGAGGTATCAGGTGACCTCGGCATCCTCTGTTCCAGTCTTCTTTCATTCTACCTCCTCCTCCCCTCACTCACCTGCTTCCTTGGGGATCTGCCAGAGGTGGACAGAGCTGTTATCTGAGGTCAACAGGAGGCCTGAGGCCTCGGACGCAGCAGCGGCCGTGACCGGACCGCTGTGTCCCTGGAGGGTGCGCATTTGGCACACCTAGGAAAAAGGGGGTTGCAGAGGTTGTCCTGGGTACCTTCTCCATCTCTTCCCGACCCCAGTTCTTGCAGAGAACTCACCAAGAGGGGATGCCACAACTTTGTGGCCCCGTCCAGTCCAACAGTCACCACCAGAAGCTCCGATCCAGGCTGTCCAGCTGAGAAGACAGGGAAAACAGCTCAGAAGGAACGACCAGGCCCAGAGGCAAAGGCTGGAAATAGAGTGCTAGCTAGCGGCGTAGCAAGCCCCGGGCCCTAGGTTTACTCTCCACTACTGAAAAAGAAGAGGAGAAGGAAGAGAAGGAGACCCAAAAGGATGAGGTAGCAGCGAAGGGGGAAGGGTGACAGTTCAATACCTGGGCGGGGCTCCAGGGCAGCCGCACACTGGCTGATGGGTCCCGAGTGAGCAGGGATGCTGGTCAGCTCCACGCCCTGACGGTCCCACACTTTCAAGGTCCCATCCCGGCTCACAGACACTATGTGTTCCTCCTGTCCCCGGATCACAGTGTCAGAGGACAGTCGCAGTAAATGGGACGCGGGAAATGAGGCGGGCAAGCAAAGGGAGGAGGTTAGCAGTCTTGGACTGCGCCTGTTTGGAGTGTGCACACAACTGTCTTGTACTAACTCATCTGGCGGCCCGAGACCCTGACCTGCATGTGCTATGCATACCCCCCCTCCTCTAAACAACACGTCAGCAACCTTAGTTCCCCACCTGCATAGAGTTACATACATTCCTACCTTTGGACAAATGGAATAAATTTCTCTTCCCCCTAACATGCATCAAACATGGACAGATTTCCATCCAATCATATCCTATCTTCCCTCTGGGTATGAGGGTGGGATGGGGGGTGGGGGTCTGATCTGGCCAGAACTGGTTTTGGATGCCTGTGCAGTAACGCAAACTGTGTCCCTGTTTGGTATACATATAATTAAAAGTAGATGCATTGTGGTAGAAGACATGTGCAGAGAGCAAAAAGCTTATTTAATCCAAGTCTGTCAACAGAAATCGAGAACCACACAAACTATACCTTATACCCCTAGTGATCGCCAGTAACCAAACTCCTCCTTCCTGCAGACCTCATCCAAGAAGCCCTAACCAATAACCTAGGGCCCCGAGTATTCTTTCACTTACGTGGCCCGCTGTCCTTGTTGACAGGCTATTGTACTGTTGTTTTGCTTTGAATAAAATTGTCCCTCTGCCCTCATAATCTGTGTGTGTTTTGAAATTTAAAAAAAAATTTTGTGTGCGTGCATGCGTGCGTGCGTGTGTGTGTGTGTGTGTGTGTGTGTGTGTGTGTGTGTGTGTAGGCATGTACACATGAGTGGAGGTACCCAAGGAGGGCAGAGGCTTCAGGTCTCCATGGAGCTGGAGACACAGGCAGCGGTGAGCTGTCTGACATGAGAATTGACTTCAGGTCTTCAGGAAGTGCTCTCGGCTGCTGAGCCATCTCTCCAGCCCATTCTGCGTGTGTTTTTATTTAATTCCTGATTAAGACACTAAGAACCAAGAAAACACCTGGCCAAGATCCTAACTCCCTCCAGAGAGGGGAAGGTAAACATCTGGGGCTTGGAGGATGTAAAAGGATGTGGAGCTGAGCGGCTCGGGACTGCAATCTTGCCAGAAATTCCTAATCCTAAGAGGACGTGTTTTTAATGTGCCACCCATCGTATCACCCACTAGACTCAAGACTGTAGTACGGTCCTAAGTATCACATTTTTACCATTTGCCTTTGAGACTGGACACCTAATGCATCCAGTCTCCCAGATTCTCCTGGCCTTCCCAGAGAATGCTGGTGAAGTCCATTGCCTTACCACAGCAGCCACGGTGCTCACGGCACTCTGGTGACCCAGGAACTGACCAAGCTGCTGTCCTGACTCTGGATCCCAGAGTCCCACAGAGCCGTCACTAGAGCAGGAGACCTGTAGTCAGAAGTGAAAGGAGAAAGATCGTCAACATTCCGCTAGCATTTTATTTGAGGGCTTTGAGACAGGGTCTCACTGTGTAGCTCTGGCTGGCCTGGAATGCACTACGCTAGGATTAAAGGCGTGCAACACCATGCGTGGGTCCTTTCTTATCTCTCTTTTCTTAAAAAACAATATAAGAGGGGCTAGAGAGATGGCTCAGTGGTTAAGAGCATGGTCTGCTCTTCCAGAGGACCTGGGTTCAATTCCCAGCACCCACATGGCAGCTCACATCTGTCCCAACTCAAGTTCTAGGGCTTCTGACCCTCTCATCCAGACAAAACACCAATGAACATAGAATAAATTATATATTAAAAAAAAAACTTTAGAACTCTATATAGGGAAATATACTTCACAAATACTGAGAAAATAATCTGAGATTTGTTAATTTATTAAAATAATTTGAGATTAATAAGTCACAGCAACATCTTTCACTCCCAGGCATTCCAAAGCTGGAGAGACAACATCCATCCACACGTATACATACACGCACATGAAAGTGTAAAGAATTCAAGCAAAGAAGAGTGCTCATTGCAATGCTCAGCTTTATCACTGGCAGGGCCTTGAAAATGCTTTTCTGGGGTCAATTTTCTTATCTGTGAAGAAGACATAACTGTAGTGTCTACTTTACAGGGGGGTTTCTCTGTGTTACAGCTCTGAATGTCCTGGAACTCACTTTGTAGACCAGGCTGGCCTTGAACTCACAGAGATCCGCCTGCCTCTGCCTCCTGAGTGCTGGAATTAAAGGCGTGCGCCACCCCCCACCCCCACCCCCGGCCTTTACAGGGTATTGTAAAGATTAATTATGGTAATAAGTGAAACCGAGGTCGTGTCAAACCCAGCATATACTATGTACCCACAAAATGTTAGCAAAACTATTATTAATTATTAAACTATTACTAATTAACTATTATGCTACAAAGAGTCTGCAATGGAGATTGCTTCCCTCCACGTTCCTCGCTGGGCTCCGCGTGTTCTTGCCCATCCCTTCACTCACCAGCAGGTTGTCTTTGGTCCATGCACAGCCAGTGACCCAGTCACGGTGACAGGAAGAGAAGGAGTGAATCAGAAGAGGGGCGTGGGCTCTCTTCACGTCCCAGCAGAGGAGATTCTGCGTAGGCAAGGACAGGGATCCGTCAGGACACAGACCACAGCCATGCCGAAGCCATTTCAGACAGGGTGGTTGTTTTGTTTTTGACAAAGTCTCGTGCGTCCTAAGCTGGCCCTGGACAAATGATCAATGACCTCCTGATGCCTCTGCCTTCACCTTCTAAGTACTGAGGTTAAGGTGGGTGCCACCACACCTGGTTTCAAGCAGGAAGTTTTAAAACAAAAGAAAAAGTGTAAGGCACGCAGGTAGACCCACCTGCAGATCTGGCAGATCAAAAAGCAGGAGAAAGTAATGGGAAATAGACTGTTAAAGTAAAATAAATAAATAAATAAAAAGAGGCTGTGGAACCCCAGGGTTACATCCTTCTGCAGCTTACCCGATCCCTGCCCGCAGTGGCCAAAAGGCCTCCATCAGGGCTGAAGCTACAGCAACACACTGGGCCCTTGTGGCCCCGGAGCTCAGCACCACAGGGAAAGTCTTCTGCCTCACGTGGCTGTGTCAGCAGCTGCCTGGGCCACAGTCGCACTGTGAAATCCTCTGCATTGGGAATAGAAAGGGAAGCGCTTCCTGAAAACCAAAGCAAGACCGGCCCAGGAGGCCAACGGGAACCACGGGAGCAGAGCACAGCATCCAAGAACACAGCTCGAAGGAAGCAGGAAGATGAGTCACCAGAAGGTGCCCAGGCCCTGCGAAAGGCTCAGACACTACATAAGCACGCAGCGTGGGAACGCCCTGCACCCCAGCTCCTGCTTGGCAGACTCGGGGGGCAGGCATGTGTCTCCTTGTATCTGTAATTTCCCACCACACTTCTCACAGCGGCTGCTGCAGAAGCGACGTTTCTCAAGGCCTCCATGATGCTTTCACCTCACCACCTGTGAGGTTCACACCTCTCCCTTCCAGAGGACCAAGGCCATTCTGCACTCCCTCTCCTCTCCTCTTCTCTACTCTTTCTAGAAACAGTCTAGAAATAATCATGTAAGAACACATTCAAAAGCATTTTAAAAGTTGTAAATAAGAACCGTATGTGCATGGATTTTGATGAGCATGTGTTATTCCAGTTGTAAACGGAAGGGTGACACCAGCATATTTCAAAGAGATGATTCTGTAACACCGTTCAGTAGTACCTGAAGCAGAAGCCAAGAGTTCCTGGGAGGTGGCCAGTCCAAGCACAGGCTTCTGGTGCTGGGATAACAGCCACAGGGAATGAAGGGAGCGTCCCTTGAGCACCCAGCCATGCAGGGACCCATCTTCTGCACCATTCACCAAAACGCTGGGACTCAACCAGGCCAGTGCGGACACTGCCACATTTAGCACCTGACACCGAGTCTCCTGGGAACCTAGAACATGGAAGAGCACACGAAAGACAGACATTTGGGAAAAGGAATGAGGTAGTGGGTATCTTCTTTCCAAGGGTGCACACCCGTCCACGGCCCCTCTGATACCTGAAGAAATGTTGTAGATTTTAATGCCATCTTCTCGGTACCCAACAGCCACCTGGTCACCGTCTGGGTTGAGAGCCACAGAGAGTGCAGGAGACAGAGGATGAGAGCCCAGGGAACCCCTGGGCCGGCCAAGAAATCCTGACCATAACTGAGCCTAGGATGCCAGAAAGGAGTTTAGAGATACTCACCTCTGCTGCCCGGTCCCCATCCCCTAGGACATCTCCCTTCAAAAGACTGCAGAAAATCTCCCCCACCATCCAAACTCCCCCGGGATCCTCCACAAAGGACCCCAGCATCCCTACTTTTGCTACTCTGTCCCCGCACCCGCCACAGGCCCTCGGGAAGCTCACCTTGCCATCTTCTCCAGCCGTCAGGAACCGGCCTCCAGCGTGCAAGAAAAGAAGAGCAGCAACAGAGCCACGGTGTGCGGGGAAGGCCGCCAGCCGCGTACCCTCCTGCCAGGCCCACAGCTCCACGGCCCCATCTATCCGGCCGACAGCCACAGACTTCCCAGGGGCACTGAATGCCAGAGTGCGGACAGAGGCCCCTGGGGTTCCGAGTTCCTAGACGCGCGCGTGTTAGAAACAGAAGCAACAGAGCCTGTTCTCAGCGCCGGCTCAAAGGGACCCAGAACACAGCTGTCACTCTCCACTCTCACTCCTGCCCTGCGTGTTCTCCCCGAGAGCTACACAGGACCTTCTCACCTTGATGACTTTGAGTCCATCTGCCCGGAAGAAGGTAATGCTGCCAGCCCAGCTGCCGGTGGCTACCACCTGCCCCTCTGGGTGGAAGGCAACGCAGTTCAGAGATCTGGGACAGGTGTGCTGGAAGGCCAGCTGTCCACGGACTGTGTCCCAGAGCTGGAGAAGAAAGAGAAGAGGAATCGGGGTGCTGGACGCAAATGGCGGAGCTTTTCAGCCCCAGAGCTCCTGAGGGTCACCTTAGCTAGTCCCCTGCCTCAGTAAAGCTTCCCTAGGATAGGCAGTCAGCAGCTCTGCCATGTTGAGCGACAGATCAGGTCTGACTCACGGTTTAGGGTCACTTTTTGTTACCTTTAGGTATCCTCCCAAACACACAGTGGCCAGCAGGCGTCGGTCTGGGCTTAGGCAGCAGCCAGTGATCTGGTACTGGTGGGCCTTGGCCTGGAACACCCTATCCCAGGAAGACAAAGTCAGGGTCCCGGGGTCATCATTAGGCTCCCTCCTCACTCCTTTCTCTCAGGGCTTAGAAACAGGAGGGAACCACTCACCAGCAACCATGCTGCAGGTCCCAGAGCTCCAGGAGCCCATCGAAGGTAGTAAGGAAGAGAGCACTGTCCGAGAGGAACGCAAAAGAGGAAATCCCATCACAGCCGCTCACCAGCGCCTTCTCCTCCTGTAACGGCCAGTTGGGGAGCGTGACTCGGGTGATTCCCTCAGTCCTCCATAACCAACCCATCTCCGGCCCCAGCCATAAAAAGGAGGCCAAGGCAAAAAGGGCTTAAGTCCTTGGCTGTCTACATTCCCAGCCTAAACACAGGTTCAAGTGTACCTCATAATCAAAGCAGAGTCACCATCTCTCACCACAGATTTCTTTTTTAGGTTCTAGGGAAGGGTATTACATAAATGCATGTACACAGGGGTGAGGGGGTGATGTGGGTAAGCAGAGGAAGCCTGTGGCTGTGTCTCCTCTCTCCAGTCTGGTATTGCCTGCGGCTGCAATCATTCAGAGCAACTTACAGGACCCTTCTCTCCTGCGTCTTTGTTGAGGCTCTGTGTGCAAGCCAGAAGGCCTGCCTTTTCCCACCCAAGGTCCTCCCCTCTATCTACACAGCTCACATGGACCCTATCATGTGAACAACTGGGCTCCGGGTCTCGGCTGCTGAGTCCCCTTTCGTTCTAGGCAATCCCAGCAGGCCCTGAACTGAACAGACAGCCCAGGCTGGCGTTGAGCTCAGTCCTCCTGCCCCAGTCCACACCCAGATGCTGGGATTACAGGTGTGAACCACCACATCCAGCTGCTGACCGAGCCTTTGACCAGGGTGTCTAATCTGAAATGAGTTGAACGATGTTGCTGAATCAACCAGGGTTCTAAGGATGTGCTTGGCTTGCCTAGACCTTCGGGGCAGTCTGTGAGGGTTTCCTGGTGGTCACTCTGTCCTGCCTTCTGCATCATACCTGCCAGGTTCTCGAGTCCAACAGGTAAATTGTGCCACTGGCAGTGCCCACAGCTGCTCTTTGCCCATTAGGGGATAAGGCCACAGCGGTCGGGGAGGAAATTGCCAGAGACAAGCTAGAGAAGGAGAAAAAAAAAGTAGGAAGAAAGAGGAAGTGAGGGAAGGAAAGCCAATGGGAATCAACTTCTGCAATTCTATGCCTGAACCCCTCCCCACGGCAAATCTAGTCTGTCCTTTCTTTTTCTCGGAAAGGCCTACCAGAGCTGGGGTCACGGGTCTTACCTTTGCTGGTCCTTCAAGGTCTGGGGTTTATTAATCCATCGCAGTGTGAACTGGAGGTGCCATCGCTGGGTGAGCAGGGGGGCCTGGCAGCAAACGGGGGACTCTACCGGCTGGTTGGCCGCCTGCTGGAGCAGGAGCAGAGGGTACCGGGCAAGGAGCGAAGCCTGCTGTCTGAGGAAGGTGTGGAATACAGCAACATCTGCCTCCAAGGGCTCCTGGTTCACTTCGGACGCTGAAGAAGCTGTTTGAAAAGAGAGGAGAGGTTGAGGGTGGCTGAGGAGACGACTCCGTGGGTGGGAGAGCGTGCTGCACAAACATGAGGACCTCGGTTCAGATCCCCAGACCTACACAAAAAGCCAGGGACGCCACATGCGCCTGTAACCCTAGTGCTGGTGTGGGGGGTCGGCGTAGAGAAGAGAGGAGAACCACCGGATCTTATTGGCCATCAGCCCAACCGAGAAACAGTGGGCTCCAGATTCAGTGAGACCCCACTTCAATGGAATGAGGTGGAGAGAAACAGGCAACAACCAACAGCAACTCTAGCCTCTATAGGTGACTGTGTGCAGTATTCGCACACACACACACACATACACGTTTACACACAAACACACACACATACACACACAAATACAAACACAAACATATACACACACAAGCACACATACACACACACACAGTCACACACAAACATATACACACATACACACTCACACACAAACACACATGCACACTCACTCACAAACATACACACATACACAAGCACACACACAAACACATACAAGCACACCTACACACACAAGCACACATATACACACATAAGCACACACACACACACACACACACACACACACACACACACACACTGAGGGAGTGGGGGTTAGAAAGAAACACAGTATCATTAGGAAGCCAGCCTAGACTCCATCAACTTCAGCACCAAGAAAAATTACATGGTGCATTTAAATTTTAAGTCTCAAAGTGTGACCCTCTGAACTTCACATCAGAAACACCTAACTCATGGTTTGGGTCTCATTGCAGACCTAGGGAAGTGGAATCTTGTGACCTTAGAATCTTCAATTTTAACAAACTTCCTAGATAATTTACTGTCCAGTATAAACTGAGAAACTCTCCCGAAGAGATCTAAGCAAAAGGCTCCACTAAGAATCACTTGCCTATACCTGTGGCATTTTCAAGTTGGGATGGAAATTTGGCTACGTTTTTTAACACCTACCCTTGAGCTGGGCATCCCATATCTCAAAAGAAAAATCCAGTGATATCTCACCATAGAGCACATGGGCCTCCAAGAGGTCAGAGACTAGACCCATTTCCAGATAGGCAGCTACCACATGGAGGTTGGTGAGAAATTTTGCGAGGAGATCACGGTTCCCACTCTGGAGCTGGGGAGAGCATATTGGATTCATTAGGATGTGAAGGAGCTGGTGAGGAGGAACAGGGCTAGTCTTAGAGCGTGCCTATGCATCCAGGACTTATACCCGGGGCCGGAGACAAAGGGGGAAGCAGGCAAACTCAAAGAAGGTAGAGAGCCTGTTAGGAGGCTAATGTCACCGGTGGGACAGTGAGAAGGGGAGAGGGATCTAAGAATCGGTGAATGTGTGAACTAGTGAATCTATGAGTACGGGGACTAACCAGGTGGAAAGGCAAATCTTTGAGAGCCTCAGGAGGGCAACTTCGGAAGGTGCCTGAGGCATCGGGATCACATGTCTTCCAGAGGTGAGCTGCAAGAACAGACATGAAGAAGGGCTTATCCCTGTAGCATCTCCAAGGTCTTCGGCCACCGCAGTTATCTACCCAGTGGCCAGTGTATGGTCCTGACCGCCAGGTCCAAGCCCCATTCTCCTGCCCATGCTGAGTGGGGCTGCAATCACCTGCAAGAAGGACGTGTGCAGTCCTCTCCAGCCCCAGCCTTCTCCCATAGCGCCGTCTAACGGCTGTCCTCAGAGGCCCCGCAGAGAGGCAGAGACGGGCGCCAGGGCGCTCCACAGGGCCCTCCCCTAGTAAACTGTCCTCCAGCGAAGAGGGGAGAAGAGCAAGGGAGGAGAAACAGAGAGAGCCAGTCAGGGGACCCCCTGGCACAGCCGAGTGCTGGCATTCCCACTGCAGTGGTAACTGGACCAGCGGCACTCAGGACCTGGGGGGCAAGCGGTGGGGCTATACCAAAGAAAGGGCAGGGGGAAGGAAGAATCACATGATGTCCTCCTAACTGGAGAGGCAGTGAGGCTGCTGGGAGCTCAGCGGGGGCAGCATTACCTTCGTAGACTCTGGACAAGGTAGGCAAATGGAGCCGAGGGGTAAGGGTTTCTACTGTGACCAACAGCCACTGCTTCTTCCCAGCTCTTCGTCTCCTTGGGCAAAATCAGCCATGTGCTCAGCACTGCGTGCAGCTGGTCCACGGTCAGACCTGAAACCATAAACTCTCTGACAACCCAAACCACACAGGGAGTCCATCTCCATGACCCATGACCCCTCCTCCTGGCACCGCTGGCTAAGATCCCGCCCGAACTAAGGTTACCCAAGAGCTGAGCCCTCAGCCTCCCAGCCTCCCCCAAGCACTGACCGCTACGCGTGACCTGAAGGGCAGCCAGAGCTCGAGGAAGGACATCGTGGCCATGTTCTTGCTCCAAGGTGCTCAGGACGTGCTGAAGCAGCAGTGGGAGGGAGGCAGGCAGGGTTCGAAGTCGCTCAGACACCTGGGCGGAAAAGACGGCCAGGCTTTGTCCATGGAGGGGGGGGAGGGGCGGTGCAGAGCCCAGGAGGGGACGGAGTAGCGAGAAGTACGGCAGAGAGGAATGAAAAGGTTGAGAGAAAAGGAGGAGTCAGGCAAAGTCAGGGAACGGGTGACCAGAGACAGCAAAAAGATGAGAGATGGTGCTTAGTGTTGATTTTCAACTTTGACAGAGTCTAGAACCACCTGAAAGATAGGCCTCTAGACACGCCCGTGGGGAACGGCCTTGACTGCATCAATTGAGGTGGGAAGACCTGCTCACGGTGGGTGGCATCAGCCCCTGGATGGATTTGGACTAGAAAGGAAGCTGAGGGGGTGGAGGGATGGCTCAGGAGTTAGGAGCACTTGTGGCTCTGGCAGAGGACTTGGGGTTTAATTCCCAGACCCACATGATGGCTCACAAACATCTGTAACTCCAGTTCCAGAGGATCCGATGCCCTCTTCTGACCCCTTCGGGCACCGAGCACACACACAACACAGTACACATACAGGTCGGACACTCACACGTAAAATAAGATGAATAAATCTAATGATTTTTTAAAAGCAAGGAAGCTGAGCAGCAGCACGCATTCATCCTTCTCGGCTTCCTGACTCAAGCCCCTCTTGGCTTCCCCGCCATGATGGACTCTACCCATGAACTGTGAGCCAGAAGAAATCCTTAGACCCTTAAGTAGCCTCTGCCAGTGTGTTTTATCACAGCAAAAGAAAATGAAAGTAAGAAGAAAAAAAAAAAAGTGACACCAGAAGTTCCAATGAGCAACAAGGACTTTATCAGGAACCTGGATAGGGCCTGTTTGTGTGGTTATTTTAGCCAAGAATCAGGTGTCAGTCTGGCCATGTCCTGAGACCTTGAGGTCGAAAGACCTACCTACTGTGGGTGGTTTCATTCCCTTGGCTGATATCCTGCACTGTGTTAAAAAGCAAAACCGTGCTGAGGACAAAGATTTATAGCTCTTTGCTTCCTGACTGCAGGTGCAAGGTGACCAGCTGCCCCGAGCTCCTGCCACGATAACAACCCGGCAACAACAGACTATAAACTCGGACTGTAAGCCAAATAAACGCCTCCTTCCTAAGCTGCCTGTGTCGGGGCATTTTATCACAACAGCAGAAAAGCAGCTAAGACAGACAGGCACGAGGCACGGAGCCCCGGAAGGCTAACGGCAATGGGAGATAGGTTAGCACTTTGTGGACGAGGAACGACCCACCTGTTCATAGAGTGTGAAGAGCCTCAGGTAGTCAGTGGCGAGGTGCAGGTACAGGGGCAGGCCCGAGCCTTGCTTTACCAGCAGCAGCCGCATCTGGGGGGAGTTGAGAGGATTCAGCACGGGGACTAGGGAAGCCTGTCTACCGCAGCTCACCTCTGCTACAGCACCAAGAGGCTCCTCCCCTGAGGGTTTAATTGAGGGATGGGCACACGACATCATCTCACAATACAACCCCCCTCCGGCTTCCCAGCCAGATCCTGTCAGGAAAACTTCCACGGCTCAGCCTAGCCCACCTCCGCCATGATTCTACTCACCCTCCCCAGGGAGACTGTCCACCACGGAAAAGTCTAGGTGGTCTTCTGAGAAATCAGAGCTTTCTAACAATAACAATCTCCCCTGGCAGAGAGGTCTGGAGACAGCTAAAGAGCGGTCCTAGGGAGGCAGCTAGGTGGCTTCAGCAGCTGTACCCTCACGGCTCCCCGATTCACCCTACATCCCCACCAGCCCCGGTCTGGGTCCAACCTGGTTGTTGAAAGGCGACTCCTCCAGCCGTTTCCCATACAGTGCCAGCTCGTCTCTCACAAGCTGAGCCCTCGAAGACGGGATCAGAGGCCCCAAGGCCACCACGGAAGCACCCTGACTTTGCTGAAGGGTCTCTCCCAGGCCTGAGTCACTGGACACACTCAGCACCAGGTGCACTCGCTGTGACATTTGCACAAAGGAACAAGGTTGGGGGCGGGGGGGGGGGGGGGGGCGGGGGGGGGGGGGGGGGGGGGCGGGGCGCGGATAGAACTGCATTAGCCAGGTCCCTCTCCCTACAACTCCACGGCACCCTCCTCTCCAATCTCCCTCCTTTCTCAGCCTGGCCTGGCCTCACACTCACCCGGGGAAGGGACTTGGGGATCCAGTCCGAAGTCAGCTGTCCATTCTGACCCACCAACTTATCCGCCCCGTCGACAATAAGGACCAAGGTCTGGCCGGGTCTCAGTGACTGAGCGGATTTGGGGAGCAGCCTCTGCTGCAGTTCCCACACCAGGCCTCTGTGTGTGACGAGGTCAGGGTCAGAGGTGGAGGAGGCGCAGGGTGGGCAAGGGCGCTGGCTAATCTTGGGGGTGCCCGCCCACCTGTAAGTGCCGGGGAGGGCGCTGGGCTCTCGCAGTTTTCGATGCAGATAGGTGCAAAGGCGTCTGAGCAGGCTGAGGGCCAGACGCTGGTCGGGGCGGGCTGCTGAAAAGTGGAAGAAAACTAAGGGGGGCACGCGGGGCTGGCTGAGGGCCCCCAGCGCTGACACGAGGGATGCCTGCATGGGGCAGAACAAAACCATGTTTGCATTTTAGTCCGTGCATAACCTCCCCGCGCCACCTCCTCGGCTCCCAAGCCCTTCCTCCGGCCCGAGACTCATACCAGGAAGGCAGTCTTCCCCTGTCCTGCCTGCCCAGTCACCAGGCTCAGGCTCCCGCGGGTCAGCATCAGCTGCTGCACTGTATCCTGAAGAAGGCGTGGCCGTGCAGGACTGGGCGGGTTCTTCAGCTGCTGAAAGCTGGCCTGGATCGAATCATCATCCAACATGGCCGCTGGCTGCTCCAACTGGGCCGCCGCAGGCTGAGGGTCACAGGGCACTATGTCTTCATGTTCCTCAGGACCTCCCGGCCTAAAACCCAACCCCCCCCACCCACCCACTTGCTTCCCACCCAGGATTACCAAGCTTGCTCCCCGGCCATCAGCACTCCTGCTAACCTGCAGGTAAAGCTTCTGGATCATGCTCCACACATCCTGGAGAACCAACTGTCCAAACTCCTCCAAGCCCCCAGTATAGGGCCGGCCAGCTGCTACACCTCCCCATTCACAGGTGTACCTGTAGGTAAAGCAAACAGAGTCAGTCAGAGCAGGCCCGGCTCCCCTTACCACACCTCCTCGGGATGGGTGCCTCCACCTCCCGCAGCTCACCCGCGACAGGTAACTTCTTTCTGTTGGTGTAGGTATCTCTTCAGTTCTGAGACCCGATGTGCAGTCTCTTCTGACTCAGAAATAAAGTCAGGTTTCCAGGCATCCGGCACAGAGCTGACCACCAAAGACACCCCAGGGGTGAGGCCAGACGCAGGGACTAGCCTCCAGAATCGGCCAGGAGACAAGGCTCTGGTTCCCTCAAACTTTGCACTCAGCCTGAGATCTGATCTGGGGTGGCCAAGACTTGCTCTCTGGGACCTGTTTCCTCTTTCAGCACTGGGTGCTGGGGGCTGAGGACTGAACCTGCCTGGCTTTCTGTGGAGGAAAATCTGACTGGGTAGCAACAGAAGGTACCTGAGGAAACCAGGGTCTCGGAAGTAGACGAGAGCTTGAGCAGAGGGCTGACAGCGTTGGCTACGATTCAGGAACTGCATCACCTCCATTTCTGTCACAGAACGCCCTGAGGGGTACTGCTGGGCCTACATGGAGAAGGAAGACACAGGCACGGTCAATCCCAAGTGTCAATACATTCCTGGACACCTTCACATGCCCGAGATTACCCTTACCCCAGACACAGGCAGTAAAATGTAGTTACCAACCAACAATTACCAAAATGATTGACATGTACTGAGTGTTTTAAAATACATTTTCCCCTCACAGTTGGAGACTGAATTCAGAACCTTACACATGGTAGACAAGTAAGTACTCTACCACTAAGCTGTATTCCCAGACCGTGTGTGTGTGTGTGTGTGTGTGTGTGTGTGTGTGTGTGTGTGTGTGTTCCCCAGTGCTGGAATTAAAGGCGTGAGCCACCATGTCCATGTCCAGCTTCCCTGACCTTTTTCATTATATTCCGAGATAATGTCACTTACTTGTCCAGGATGGCCTGGAACTCCTGACCCTCCTACCCAATCTCGGGTATGCATAACTACACCCAGCTAAATAAAATTCTATCTAATAGTAATCTTGAAATGTAGATGTTGTTTCTATTTAATATGTGTTGAAACTGAGGCTAATTTAGACCACTCTGTTTCTAAGAAGCCACACAACCTACAAATGTCCAAAGGGAGGGCAAAACCAGATCTGTCTGACGGCCAAAGCCAAGCAGACCCCCTGAGAACCTTCAACCTTCTGAGAACCCAGGCCAAAGTTCCTTCCCAAAGGAGTCACCTTCCTCTAGGCCAGTTTTGTAGAGTCTTCTGCCTGTGTCCCACGTCAAGACTCAAGGACCCGTGGAGCATCACTCCAGCGTTCCTGTCAAGCTGGCTTTTCCCACTCCTGTTTCCTCCCCAGCCCCTCCAACCTCGTCTCTCTTACCCAGTGGAAGTGCGGATGGTCAGGCAGGTCATAGCTGGGGGGAACGTAGCCATAGCGGGAGCCCAGAATCCCAACAAACAGCTCTGAGTTCTCCACCTCCCCAAGGCACACTTCCAGTTGTCTGTAGGCACGATCATGGGGACAGAAAGGAATCACGGTGTGTGTGTGGGGGGGGGGGCAGTTCTAAGCAACCCAGGCAAAAATACAGGGAGAGGTCCCTGACTCATACTGGGCAACGTGGAGATGGAATGGTCCTGTTGGTATCTAAGAGGCAAAACCCCGCCCTCGTCCTCATTGGTTCTTGCGGTCCCAGCCCTGGTTACCTGACTGCACCACTCCGTTCTCTCATCCCTGCCCCAGCCCCTCTTCGCTGTGGCCCTGTACCTGTTCCTACGGGTCTCTTCCTCGGTGATACCCCAGCGCAGGTCAATAGCATGAAGACTGATGCGGTGGGGCAACACTCGGGCCTGCAGAGCTGGTAGGACCGATCTCATCAGCAAGTCCCGCTCCCCATGCATGTCCCGAAAAGTGGACGAAATGAAAAGCCGGATGTTGCGCCACCTGGCGGGAAGGGGAGAGTTGGGTTCAGCCTAGGGGTCAGTCCCCATCTCAAGTCCGCAGCCATAAGCTCAATTCAGCCTTCTGCACTTGAAGTAAACCCTCCACAACAGACGGCAGAAGGGTGCCTTCCAGGCCTCCACAGGATAGCCTAGCTGTGGAACCAACTGCAAAAACCTGAAATCTCAATCCTACTTGCCATTTCTCTAATGTGCCTTTTCAGAAAACCATTATTACACAGTTACCATTTGATCAATAGGATACTTCCAGACAAATTTTAACCTTAACTATACCTTTAAGAAATTAAACAACCGCCGGGCGGTGGTGGCGCACACCTTTAATCCCAGCACTCAGGAGGCAGAAGCAGGTGGATCTCTGTGAGTTTGAGGCCAGCCTGGGCTACAGAGTGAGTTCCAGGAAAGGTACAAAGCTACACAGAGAAACCCCGTCTCAAAAAACTAAGAAAAGAAAGAAAGAAAGAAAGAAAGAAAGAAAGAAAGAGAGAGAGAGAGAGAGAGAGAGAGAGAGAGGGAGAGAGGGAGGGAGGAAGGAAGGGAAGAGGGAAAGGAAGGAAGGAAGAAATTAAACAACCAATCTAAGCTATCATCTGGCAAAGCCTGTGCTCTGAACCTCTTGCCTAAGCCCTGGTTATATCGTCATGGAGTCTGCTGCATTCAAATGTTTTTGTTTGTTTGTTTTTGTTTTCTAGTTAACTAAGGAATAGGTTCAAAACCTGACAGTTTCCAGGAAGCCCCTGCCTGGGGAGGAGAACCACCTCCGCAGACAGAATGGCAGTCACGGGATTTCTCCAGGTTCGGATGGCAACCCTCCCAGTTCACTAAGACCCAGAACCTTGACTGACCCATGCTGGGAAAGAAGACCCAAGGGGCCTGGGATGTCCTCCTCCAGCGGCCGGAGGGACAGGCCCTGTGTCTTTCCTGGGAGTGGGGGAATCTTGAAGACTTTATCTAGTTGGCCCACATGTTCCAGAAGACGAGAGGCTCCATGCTCCGCGATGAACCTAACGAAAAGCAGAGTGAGAACCGAACATTAGCGATCAGAACCAGGAAGGTGTGCCAAGAGAAGCAGGGGACACATGCCTGCCGAGTTCAGTGGCACCCCTTAGGAAGACAGACACAAAGCAGGCCTGGTAGCTCATGTCCCCAGTTCTCGACTTCAGCCTGGAGGATCACAGGCTGAGGTCACCCTGGGCCATATAGTGAGACCCCCATCTCAAGACTAGCCAAACATAAAAGATAACCATAAGCTGGGAAAGCACGCTTGAAAATGAATGAGACTACAGAACACCGAAGATGAAGGAAGACACTGGCCCCGGCCCCTCCCACTCACTGTGCATGGCGGCCTTAAGATCCCTATTAGAAAACGGGGCTGCGCCAAGGTTACAGGTTAAGACTCTCCCCGTCTTGGGTGATCAGCTCTGTAGCAACTACACAAGCTCCCAGTTGCTTGAGGCTTCCCAAGATGAGCTGAAGAGCATGGGTGACAATCCGAAGACGATGTAAGGCGAGCAAACAGACACGAAGGCTAGAGAGCGCTCGCAGCCCTTCCAGAGGACACGGGTTTGGTTCCCACCACCCGTGTGTCCACATGGATGCGCCCATCTGTTTGTAACTCTAGTTCCGGGGAGTTCGACAACCTCTTCTGGCCTTGGCCACGGGTGCACACATAGTACAGATACACATAAACAGGCAAAACACTCACACACATAAGATAAAAATAAGTAATGTCATTTCTTATATCTCTTTTCCTTTCCTTTTCTTTCTTTTATTTATTTATTTTTTTTTTGGGGGGGGGGGCAGGTAACCAGGTCTCAGTATACAGCCTTGGCTATCCTGGAACTTAATATGTAGACAAAACTGATCTAAAAATCAGAGGTCTGCCCGTTACTGCTTCTCAAATGGTGGGAATAAAGGTGTCTATCACCACACTCCGCTTTCCTTTCCTTTCTAAAACTAATTTTTTTTAAGTTTCAATTATGTGTTTGTGTACATGTCTGTGTGTGGCTGCCTGAACAAGACCTGAACAAGTACAATACCGATAGACCCACTAACACGGAAGAGGCGAATCTCACTGGGCCCAGCCCCAAACAAAAAACATCATAACTAAGGAATTCTGAGAGTAGAAGAAATCGTGTTCCCTGGGGATGAACCTTCAACGTTGTCGTCCAATACCGAGTGGTCATGCCTGAAATCATACACATACAAGCAACAGCAAACAAACTGAGCAAGCCGTATTCGTGTGTGTGTGTGTGTGTGTGTGTGTGTGTGTGTGTGTGTGTGTGTGTATAACAATAACAAAGAAAAGGAGATTACGAATTGGAGAGGAAGCAAGAGGAGCAGGACATGGGAGGAGTTGGAGAAAGGAAAGAAAGGGGGGAAATGAAGAAATTATGATTTAATTTAAAAAGCTAAAAAAATAAGGAAGTAAATAAATAATTATGACAAAAATTCAAATATGAAATACATTGCAAAAAATAACTGAATAGAATGGAAAACTGGAAAGATCTCATTTTAAAAATTTTTTTGAAGATTTATTTTTATGTGTATACAGTGTTCTGCTTGCATGTATGTCTGCACGCCAGGAGAGGTCACCAGATCTCACTATCGATGGTTGTGAGCCACCATGTGGTTGCTGGGAATTGAACTCAGGACCAATGGAAGAGCAGTCAGTGCTCTTAACCTCTGAACTATTTCTCCAGCCCCAAGATCTCATTTTTTTTTTTTTAAAGAAAAAAATTAATCATGTGTCTGTGTGTATGTCTGTGGGTGTGTGAACATAAATGGAGTGTCTGTAGAGGTCAGAGGCATCAGATCTCCTGGAGTTGCAGACAGTTGTTGGATCCCTCTGGAGCTGGAGTTACAGGCAGCTGTGAGCCACCTCCAATGGGTCCTGGGAACCAAATCTATGTCCTCTGCAAGAGCAGTATACACCCTTAACCAGTGATCCAATCCTCCAGCCCACTTTTCCTCTTTCATTGAGTATTGCACAAACTTGGACGTATCTAAGACAGAACTGAAACACTATCTCTAGTCAGGAGGTAGAGGCTATTGAGGGTGATCAAACATTAAGACAGTGAAGGTGCCGGGTGGTGGTGGTGGTGGTGGCGGCGGCGGCGGCGGCGGCGGCGGCGGC